CCCGCCCCGCTGGGAACCCCGGCCGTTCTGGCCGGAGCGTCTGCAGACGGAGCCCGGGCATTGTGCAGGGGAGGGGGGGTGATCTGCGGATTACCGTCCGGGGGGCATTCCTCTGTGCGGCACGACTGATATTTGGCTCTCTGACCCTCGCAGTATTTTCCACCGTTCTGAGGTGCCGGGTCATTGCAGTCCCGGTAGGAGAAGTGCACGCCTCCTCCGCACGTCCTGGAGCAGGCTCCCCACGGGCTCCAGGGACCCCAGTTCCCATCAACCGCGACCTGCAAAACGTTGCAAAGGATTCCATGACAAAAGGCCCTCGTTAGGACAGTGAAATCAATCAGTAGCACCCCTTAGCTCTTGCCTAGTGCCTCTCAGCAGACCTCAAAGCGCTTCTCAAGGCAGGTCAGTATCATCATCCTTGTTATACAAATAAGGAAACTGAGGCACGGGAGGGTGGGGAGTGACTAAGCTAGGAACAGATGCTAGGCCTCCTGGATCCCCCTCCAGGGCACTGCCCAGGAGAGAGGAGGCCGTTTTGTGGGGCGTCCGCGAGGGTTGTGGGTGCCAAAGAGGGTTGTCTGTGCAGGCTGATGTTTTCCAGTTGCCTACAGGACACTGGGGGAAATATCTCACAGGCACAAACGGCAGCTAGAAGGCGAGCTCTCCGTGGGCGCTAAGCCCCTGCGTGGTACTTCTGCCCCCTTTGTCCTATTGGAATGACTGGAAGCCGGGCACGCAAACCCCCAAGCCTTACACCCCGACTGCCTCCCTCCTCGCCTTGCCAGCGGAGTTAAGCCAGGTGGGGGAAGGGAGGGTCACTTGTGGCTTTAAATTCTGCACATCCGGTGGCAGGGCCAATGCAGGGGAAGGCCGTCACCTCCAGAGCCCCTGCCAGCTCACCAGGGCCCCTGCCAGCTCACCAGAGCCCCTGCCAGCTCACCAGGGCCCCTGCCAGCTCACCAGAGCCCCTGCCAGCTCACCAGGGCCCCTGCCAGCTCACCAGGCCCAGATGGTGGGGAGCTTCTGAGCCACTGTATTCCACACCAGAAGAAAAGCCAGTGGTGCCCTGTGACAGCAGCCCCTGACTGAACATGGCGCAGGCCTTGTGCTAGCGTCAGGACCTGAACCAAGGGTCTGGACCACCCCTGGAGTAGGACAGAGAACTGAAGAGGCATCTCCTGCCCTGCAAGCAGCTTTCAACCTCGCATGGGGCTTGGGGCTTGGCTCTCGGGAGGAGGCGCGCCTAGTGCGTTGCGTGGGTGGAGTCCCGCTCCATGGGGTTCTGCCAGTTGAGTCTACAAGGCCTGTGGGAGATGAGCGAGAGACAGGGGGTATGTCTACACTACCCTCCTAGTTCGAACTAGGAGGGTAGTGTAGACATACCCTTGGAGTGATAGCAATAGGATGAAATTTAATAGTGAGAAGTGTAAGGTTATGCATTTAGGGATTTATAATAAGAATTTTAGTTATAAGCTGGGGACACATCAGTTGGAAGTAACGGAAGAGGAGAAGGACCCCGGAGTCCTGGTTGATCACAGGATGGCTATGAGCCACCATTGTGACATGGCCGTGAAAAAGGCTATACCTAGTTCGAGCCCCGTGTAGCCGCGCTGCACGGGGTTCGAAGCAGCGGGGATTTAAAAATGGTGGCTCCCCGCTTATGCTAATGAAGCCCGGGAAATTCAAATCCCGGGCTTCATTAGCAAGTGCGGTATGCATACATTACCCCGCTAGTTCGAACTAGCGGGGTAGTGTAGACATACCCAGGGAGAGTAACCTGGGGCCAGGGTTAGCGCTTGTTTTGTGACAGGGACGGGGTCGGGGGGCTGTCAATGAGCCGGGGGCCGTGTTACAGCAGGTCTGTCTGCCCGCCGGTGCAGGTGGGAGGTAGTTGCCTCAGTGGCGGACGCCCTGCCCTGCCCGACAGGCAGATCTCAGCCCACAGGCTGCGGCCAGCCGGGTGCCTCGGTGGCAGGGGTTAGGGTTCATTTCTAAACAGAGAACTACGACAAAAAGGGGTTTGACCAAACCTGACAGAGGCAGAAATATTTGGACAAATGCAGCCAAGGGCATGAGCTGAACTCTCCCAGTGACGTGTGCAGCCCAAACCTTGCAGCATTGCAGGGGAACCAGACTGGAAAGGAACCGATGGTGCCCAAATGAAACTCCCACGCCCCGTGGGCCAGCTGAGTGAAACGCTGCAAGCAAAGAGCAGGCAGCAAGGGGGTAGGGCGAATACGACGGACGTGTGGGGCTGGGTTCTCAGCCCCTGTGCGTAGGAGCAAGGTTACAAAGGCCGGAGGAATCCTACCGGGGGGAAAACTGTTCCGAATGGTGACTCAGGCTCGTGATCTAGAGAGGGCAAATAAAGGACTGATCAGTAGTAAAATGACCCCGGTTTCCTAACAGTGCTGGCTGCGGGCACTGATCTAGCAAAGCATTTATGCACCGGCCTAACTTTAAGCACCATCAACTTTAACGAGACCATGCACGTGCCGACAGTTAAGCTGGCGTTTAAATGCTTTGCGGGGCCGGGGCCTGATTCACAAGTACTCGTTTTCCATGTCTGCTCCCAGCGGGAAAGAACATGACTCCTCGGCACCAGAACAGGCTACTCAATCTAGTTCAGACCAGCAGAACCCATAAAGAAATCACCGCAGAGTTCATCGAGGAGCTGGCCATGCCCAGCACAGGTTTCATTGCAGCCCATCTCAGCCTATGTCTACACTCGCGGCTTCTTGCACAAGTACAGCCGTTCTTGCACAAGAATCTGCAGAGCGTCCACACTGCCCGCCCGCTGTTGCGCAAGGAAATGTACAGTACGGCGTGGTAAGAGGGGGCTCCTTGTGCAAGAGCTACGCTCTTTTTTTAACAGGTGTAAGCCCTCTTGCGCAGGAGCTCTTGCACAAGAGGGCAGTGTGGACACTTGGCAGGGATTTCTTGTGCAAGAAAGCCCTATGACTAAAATGGCTACCAGAGCTTTCTTGTGCAAGAGAGCGTCCACACTGCCACGGGCGCTCTTGCGCAAAAGCACAGCTTGCACATGGCAGTGTGGACATTTTCTTGTGCAAGACTTCTTGCACAAGAACTCTTGCACAAGATGTTCTTGTGCAAGAAGCCGCCAGTGTAGACATAGCCTCAGTGTCAAATGCTATCCTAGGACACCCAGGCAAATCCAAAGACTCCGATAAGCCCCCCGCTTTCCAACTTCATAACATGAGCCGTTTCATTTATAAATCGCCAGGCACGGAGGAGCCCAGTTCTAACCGGTAGAAACCTGGGATCCATGTTGGACTGCAGAATCAGAGCTATTGACACAACCGGCAGTTAACACTCGTACCCAGAATATTTCCTCATCTTGTCTCTCCCTTGGAGCCAGGCCGAAACTATTTGGTGTTTGACCTCCCCATCCTTGGATGCAGGCAATGAGGAAGCAGAGTCTGAGTACAAGGGTACGTCTACACTAGCCCCCTAGTTCGAACTAGGGAGGCCAATGTAGGCATTCGAAGTTGCAAATCAAGCCCGGGATTTAAATATCCCACGCTTGATTTGCATCTTCCCGGCCGGTTGCCATTTTTTGAAATGTACAAGTCCGGACTAACTGCCCGCGTCTACACACGGCAGGGACTCAGTAGTTTGAATTAAAGCCCTAGTTCGAACGACCTGTTATTCCTCCTGGAATGAGGTTTAACTGGTAGGTCGAACTAGGGCTTTAATTCGAACTACTGGGTCCCTGCCGCGTGTAGACGTGGGCAGTTACTTCGGACTGGTGGAATTTAAAAATGGTGACCAGACGGGAACATGCAAATAAAGCCTGGGATATTTAAATCCTGGGCTTGATTTGCAACTTCAAATGCCTACATTAGCCTCCCTAGTTCAAACTAGGGGGCTAGTGTAGACATACCCCAAGGGAGGGAGTCGGGACTTCTAGAGTTTAACCCCATCTCTGCTAGTGAGTTGTCACGTGGCCTTGGGCAAGTCACTTTGGCTCTCTGCCTCAGTTTCCCCATCTGGGTTTGATGGCACTTCCCTAGCTCTCAGGGGGAATCCTGGAGGTTTAGCAGTGTACAGAAGTACTAAGTATTAATGCTACTTGGACGGCAAACTGTGGCAAACATGGTGTTTTCCTTCTGTGTCTGTACAGCACCCAGCCCAATGGGACCATGATGAGGCCTCCCAGCGCTCCCACAAGACACATGGTAAATAATAACCATGGTAATGACGCCCTCAAGGCTGGGCAATGCGTAAACCTCGACTTCTCGTTACAGATGGTTGATAGGAAGATCCCGGGCAGATACCAGCAGGCCCGGCTCATCAGCCTCATTCTGGCACAACAATTCTTCGAGAGACCCCCTCTTTACCTGGTGCTTCCTTGCTTCCTGCGCCACGCAGTGGCCATCCCAGCACAGCCTGCCCGCTCCGCAGGGGGTGCCGTCCGCCCACGGCAAGCTGCCGTTTTTGGTGTGGCAGAGGGGCTCCTTGGTGTCCATCCGGCACCACAGCTGGGCGCAGACGTCCTCCTCGGTGGTGTTTGGGCAGTGCTGGAACGCCTTGCCAAAGATCTGCTGGCACTGGCGGTCCAGGTCGTACCTGGCCAGTTGGCCGGGAAGGTCTGTGGGGAGGGCGAGGGGTTCGGTGGGCGCGTCGAGCAGACAGTCACCTGGTTGGTGGAGAAAGCAAAGCAAAGTGAGGCTGGGGGAGCAGCTCCGTGGTGGCGTAACCCTGGACTCCGTTCTCTCGCACGGCTGGGCGGGGCTGACGTTATTACCCCTCCGCCGGCCCCGGGCAGCGAGCATCACGTCCCAGGCGCCCGTATCCCAGCGAGGCAATTCCTCAGCTGCCCCCCGTGGCACAAACCTGCCTCTCGCTCCCTCGCAGCGCGGGGTGGGAACGAGCCGAGCCGCGAGGAACGTCCCAGCACAGGGCGTCTGCCACGGCGAGTTACAGGCCGAGCGGCGGGCAGAAGACCGGGGCGGTAGCTGGGCGTCTGGGCTTTCCAGGCTTTGCCTGGCTCAGAGATCAGACAGGCCCACAGCCTCCCTTTCCGCTTCTGCATCCAAACGTGCCGCGGCCCTCGGACTGGCCAAGCCGCACCGGAGATGACGCCTGGGCAGCCAGTGGAGGAGGCAGCAGGATTGGAGTCAGCAGCTTCCGGGCCCTAGCGATTCAGCCTGGGCTTTTCACAAGCGCCCAGCGGGGTAGGTGCGTGGCTGGCCCTGGGCGACCTGTGCGGGCCTGAGCCCAGCGGTTCGGAGCAGGGCTGCGGGGGGACCGCACGGATTCCTACCGTGTCCCCCGTCCAGAAAGTCGGTGAGGTACATGGCGCTGCAGGGGGACCAGGGCAGGGTCTTGTTCACGTGGACGAAGAGAGGCGCCATCATGTGGTGCTTTCCCAGAGGCCCAAAGAGCCGCTCGCAGGTCTTGGAGTCGTCGTGGGGCATGCTGAGCACGTGTCCTGGGGGCGGAGAGAGACGGCGCGTTAGCAAGCCGGCTTCCTCCCTCCGGCTGTCCTCGCCGGCCTGCACCCCCTCTGCGTGCCCCCCGCGGGGCCGGTGACACTCCCCGCCCTTGCCGGGGGTCAGCCCCTGACGGGAGAATGCCTGTGGGCTCCCAGGAGAGCGTCGCCCATGGGCAGCACCTCTCCTAGGACAGGGGAAGGCAAAACCAGGAACCTCCCCCAGGCCCTGGGGCCCAGAGATCCAGAGAGGCTCCTCTGAGGGCGGGGGGTCGTGCTGTGGTCTGGGTGGTATAAGGGCTGACTGCCCTTGGCCCTGCCCCTCCTCCCTAGACCCCACCCCTTCTGGGGGCACAGTGCCAGACCCCCCCACACACAACTTAGCCCCATGGTGCTGTGGCCTCCACAACCAGGGAGATTCAGGAAGATGCTTGAATGAAAGGGGGAGACTGCGCAACTTGCCACTCTGCCACGAGCTGAGAGGTGCCCCCGGGCGTTCTGTGCCTCCAGAGCCGCTCCCCTGAGCCGCTGGGCCCAGACATCGTACCCCATGGGGTGAAGTGGGATCAGGAACAAAGCTCAGCAACACAGAATCATAGACTCACAGGCTGTGTCTAGACTGCAGCCCTTTTCCGTAAAAGGGATGCAAATTAGACACATCGCAATTGCAAACGAAGCGGGGATTTAAATCCCCCCCGCTTCATTTGCATACAAATGGCTGCCGCTTTTTTCCGGCTCGGAGCTTTGCCGGAAAAAAGCACCAGTCTAGACGCAGCTCTTTCGGAAAATAAAGCCTTTTCCGAAAGATCCCTTATTCCTTATTTTAAGAGGACCTCAGGAGGCCAGCAAGTCCAGCCCCCTGCTCTAGGCAGGACCAATCCCAACTAAATCAACCCGGCCAGGGCTTTGTCAACATCTCCCCCCCCCAGTGCAGCCGAACAGCCTGTGAGATCAGTTCCCACCGGGCACAGACCTATCACTGGGAGCAAAGGACCATGATGAACATAAAGAAAGGGGCCTGCAGTTCTTGGGCTGGATCCGCAACTAGAGCAAATGGTCGGAGCTCAAATGAAGTTTTAAAGAAGCCCTTTGGTGCCATCATCTTCGCACTCTGGGGGCGCTACCCCGACTCACCTTGGCTCTGCCTTTATTTAGTGGAGCAGGGACAGGGCTGTCTCTGTGCAGTACCTGCCCCAGTTGGGCCCTGGCTAGACACTAATAAACATCATTTTAAATACTAATTGAAGTCAATGGAGCGATGCCAATTTACAAAGGAGCTGTGCCAGTTTACACCAGTGGAGGATCTGGCCCTCCAGTTTAAACTGCCCCTTCCCAGGCCCCCTGACTTGGGACACTCCAGAGCTGAGAGATGCTGGAGCCGTAAAGACCCTGCCGTGGATTCCGCCACAGTGGCCATACTGGCTATCCCTCAACTACGTGCCCTACCAAGTAGTTACCTAGTTCATGAGCCAGGGTGTAGGCAGCCTGCAGCCCCTCATCTTCAATCACAGAGCAGCTTTTGTTCGGGTCGCACATGGTGCCGATGTCAGCTACTCCCAGGGTGTCACAGCTCTGGAGCCCACAGAAGTCCTGTGTTTGAAACCAGAGCCAGGAGAAATAGAGTAAGAGAAAGTCTGGGCTCTCACGCTGTGACATGGACTGATGGCCTGTGCATCTGAACTGGAGTTCATTTGCAAATTCAATACTATCAACTTAGGACTGAATAAGGAGCTTAAGTGCTTAACGCACCACCAAGGCAGTTTCCCCTGCCTTTGGTATTCACCTTTCCACATCAACTGCTGTGAATGAACCACATCCACCCTGACTTGATTAGCCTCATTAACACAAGTAATTTCTTTCTTTTGCTGTTATATCTACCTCTGCCTCTGTAACCGCCACTCACATTCATCTGATGAAGTGCCTTTTACTTACAACAGCTAATAAACTGGTTAATCCCTAAGGGTATGTCTACACTACCACCCTACTTCGAACTAGGGTGGTAATGTAGGCAACCAGAGTTGCAAATGAAGCCCAGTATTTGAATTTCCCAGGCTTCATTTACATCTTGCCGGGCGCCGCCATTTTTAAATGTCCGCTAGTTCGGACTGGGGGCCGCGTGTAGCCACGCGGCACAGACTAGGTAGTTCGGACTAGGCTTCCTACTCCGAACTACTGTTACTCCTCGTAACAACGGTAACTACTACCTCCTCGTAGTTACTCCTTGTAGTTACGGTAGCTCGGAATAGGAAGCCTAGTCCGAACTACCTAGTCCGTGCCGCGTGTAGCCACGCGGTACGGAGTCCGCACTAGCGGTCATTTAAAAATGGCGGCGCCCGGCAAGATGCAAATGAAGCCCGGGAAATTCAAATCCCAGGCTTCATTTGCAACTCCGGTTGCCTACATTATCACCCTAGTTCGAAGTAGGGTGGTAGTGTAGACATACCCTAAGGTGCCACAGGACTCCTTGTTGCTTTTGCTGATACAGACTAACACGGCCACCCCTCTGAGACAGCACAGATTTGTAGGCATGTAGGGATCTATGTATTGTTCATGTAGGACAACACTCCCTGGGAATGCAGGAACCCGGGATACTCCTACCTCTAGCTTTTCCTTGTATGTTAACCCTGTCTTGCTCCGTAGATTGCTGAAAGAAGTGTCTACGTCTGTATGCTCGTGCCAGGACATGGCACTGCACATGAGAGCTTTGCTGTCTCTAAATCCCATAGTTCTGTGATAGGAAAACAAGTAAGGCAAGAGGCGGCCCATTAACTGACTACTGAGGTTGCTAGAACGTCTGGTTTGCTGAAATTCACTGGCATGGGAGCTGTGGATTCCCAAACAGTTTTCTCCTCTTCCTTTTCCCTGAAGTTCTCTTTCCTTTGTTGGGCACCAGATGATGGACCAGAAAAAAAATGTTTCCCGGAGAGGAGGGATGGATTTATGGGGTGGGAATCAGGAGATGGAGTATAAACTCCCAGCTCTGCCTCAGAGTCCGTGTGATACCTCGGACACAGTCATGTCCTCTCTCCGGGTCCCAGTCCCCCGGCGCTGAGAGGGAATGATAGTCTGCATCTTTGCGTAGAGGCATGCACAGCACCTAGCACTGCGAGGCGATTGGACTATCTCCCTCTGCACTCCGGGCCATGCCCAGGTTAATCCCCAAGACTCTGCCCCCTCAGACCTGTCTGGTCAGCAGGACGGCGGTGTCGTAGTGCTCGGGGTGGCGGTCACTCGCCGGGTTGAAGCGCTGCTGCCAGCTGCAGAAGTTGCGCAGCGTAAGCCCCCCGTTATCGGACACGTCCGGCCCCGCCTTCTCATCCTCCACCACCAGCACCTTCACCACCACCAGGCTGACGGAGTTCTTCAGGCTCGGGTGCTTGTAGAGCCGAGCAGCCACCGACATCAGGGTCAGAATGTGGTTCTGAAAGGAGAAAGGCAGACGGGCCGCTGGAGGGTTACGCCTTATGGAGGGGGAAGGTCAGCACGCGGCGTGAAGCCTGCCCCTTTCTGGTCCTAGTTAGGGCTCCGTGAAACCCTGGGCATGAGGGCCGGAGCAATGCCACCGTCATGGGCACTTCCATGGCATCTAAAGTGCGCTGGGGGCTTAACATCCTCCTCGGCACAGTCCATAGGCCACATCGTCCATTGCCCTGCGCTCCGGGCGGTCGCTCACACCAGACCAGAGCGGACATGAAATGCTCACGCCCGTTCCGTCCCGGTGTGAATGGCAAGCCAAGATGCAAGACAGGAAAATCAGATCCCCTGGGGCTTGGCGAATCCTAGTCAGGCTTGGAGTACTGCTCATCCCCTGCACTGCAAATAACACCCAGCAGTCTGCAGCGGCTCAGGAAAAGGACGTCGAAGAGCTGAGGGCCGTGTTTGTGTGTTCCTAGCTGTAGCATGAACCATGGCCTCGTTTTCCAGCCCAGCCCTCTAAAGCCAGGGACCAACCCGAATGTTACCATATTAACGGTATATTTTCCATCCCAGTGCTGTGTCTAACACCCACATTTCTATGTGGTCAGCATGGTTTGACCCCAGGGCCTTCCGCTCCAAACGACGGGCCTCTGTTCATTCAGCTATGGCAATAACTCTCTTAACTAGCTGCAGTAGAAGGTTGTTAACCTCTCTGTGGACCTGCCCCTAAAGGAGGCACGACATATACTCCACAAGCATTTTAAAGACCCATCCAATAATGTAGCTTTTCTACGACTGCAGTCTGGCCATGGGAGGGCAGGAGAGGTAAATCTCGGTAATTCTGTCCACTTTAACGGAGAGACACCGATTTTCCTTAGTGGAGTATCTGACCCCACATCTTCCACTCTACCATATGGTGGAGTATTTGCTGGCCTTTGCACTCAGCTCCAAATATGTGCTCTTTGAACACATTCTCGTCTCCTGAAGGGTGGCTCCATGATTCCCAGGAGACACGAGCGCTGCAGGAAATAGCTGAGTTATTCCAGCAAGCTCTGAATGCTGTGCTACTTCAGTCTAAGCCATGTGTGGGTGTTATACTCCTGTGTTATTATTTGTGAATGGGATTTGTTCCTATAGCACTTATGCAAGCTGCCAAGCATTTACTCCAGCGGCCTTCTGCGGGGCCGAACGGGAGAACTAGAGGTTACTTAATACGTCAAACGCTCCAGCAATGTTTAGGTTGATGTAAACATCTTATGGTGTGTTGAAATTCCTCCTCTGTTTGGCACCGCCGCACGCAATCAAAGTCATGAGAAAAAAATGCAAATCATTACACAACAGCGTGAGTCCTGGGAAGGAGAAAGTTGCTGCTACTTCTCACCTTAAGTCTCACCTCCCTGACTTTAGCACAATGATTTCATTAGATTCGATTCAGACCTAAGCACTGAATTCTGCTCCCTCTTGCACCAGGGCCAATCCACAGCAGTGCTGAAGTCAGCAGGGCTGCTACAGATTTTCACCAGTAGCAGAGGCCAGAATTTGGCCCTGTGAGTTTAACGGTCTCAGCCCTGGCTGGAGTGACTAGCAGCCCGTCCTACACAACACATCCGGTCCATTGTCCCAGTGGGGAATAAACAACTCACCATATGCACAGCCTTTCCTGGGCCAGTGATTTGCATGGGACTAGCTAAGTACTATTTGCTTCAAAAATTAGTACGACTCCCCAAAGCCCGCATGTAAATCAGTGGGCATGATGGGAGTCTTGCTGGCATTCAGTGACTCGAAGGCCTTGTGACAACACGGCACCTCTGGCGCCCTTTGGAACGTTCCTATATAAAGAATGTACCACATGACTTTCATCCCCCACGATCGCAAGCCACTTCCCAGACTGCATGTGGAGATCAGCCATTGTGATAATGCAGCTTGTTCTGGGGTGGAACGAGACAGCTGTTTAACAGTAACGCTGCAACAATACTAAGGATGTGAAGGGAAGAACACCATCACCAATTGAAACTCCAGGGAGTGGCAGGATTCGGGAGGTGGAATTTAATTAACCAAATGGAAACTTGGCTGACACACTGGAGTCAGTATCCCTATTCTTATGAAAAGCGGCACTCCTAATTAGCAAAATACAGGCAGGACTAACTGGTGTACTGGGCTACCTTGAATCAGCGCTATATAAGCAGGACATTCCTAGTTAACTTGAATCATTCGACAGCATTTAGTCTGCAACAGATTAGCCACATGAACAGACGTCTAATTTTAGCAATATGCACATTAGTCAAAATTCAGTCCATTAGCTTTACAGCAGACACCAGAATGAGCGAGGGGAGCACGCACTAGACCTGTTATTCAGACTGGCCCGACTTCCATGATGTGACATATGGCACAAGCGCACAGCAGATTTAGCAAAGAATCCACTGTCAAGGCAAGAAACGTGCGCTCAACTGTGCACTGACTTACTGTCATTGCTCCCGAGGACATTTGGGGATTTTTTATCTCTGCCTCCAGGTAAAGTCAAACTGGCACCCTCATAAACCTGTCACATAGTGGTGGAATAATGGATCTAAGAAGGAATCAATATGTCACAAAATTGGGGGTGATCTGGACAAACTGAAGAAACAGTCTGAGGTAAATAGGGTGAAGTTTAATAAGGAGAAATGCAAAGTGCTCCACTTTCTGGGTCACACATACAGAATGGGAAGCGACTGTCTAGGAAGGAGTCCGGCAGAAAGGGATCGAGGAGTCAGAGTGGCCCACAAGCTAAATATGAGTCAACAGTGTGACACTGCTGCAAAACAAGCCAACATGATTCTGGGCTGCATGAACAGGAGTGTTGTGAGCAAGACACGAGACATCATTCTTCCGCTCTACGCTGCGCTGGTTAGGCCTCAGTTGGAGTATTGTGTCCAGCTCTGGGCACCACTTTCAAGAAAGATGTGGAGAAATTGGGGAAGATCCAGAGGAAAACAACAAACATGATGAAAGGTCTAGAAAACATGAGTATGAGGGAAGACCGAAAGAATTGGGCTTGTTCAGTTTAAAAAAGAGATGACTGAATGGGGACATGATAGTGGTTTTCAAGTATCTAAAAGCATGTTATAAGGAGGGTGTTACAAGGAGGAGGGAGAAACATTATTCTCCTTAACATCTGATGATGGGAGAAGAAGCAATGGGCTTAAATTGCAGCTTCCTGTCAGGATGGTTAAACAATGGAATAAATTGGCTAGGGAGGCTGTGGAATCTCCATCTCTGGAGATATTTAAGAGCAGGTTAAATAAACATCAGGGGTGATCTAGACGGTGTTTGGTCCTCCCATGGGGACAACGGACTGGACTTGATGACCTCTCAAGGTCCCTTCCAGTTCTAGTATCCTATGATTCTGTGATTCTATAACGGCCTCTAATCTAAAGCAGAAAGTTCTCCAAAGCACTTAAATACCTATACAAACCATCCAGGAATTCACAACACCCACCACCGAAATGCAGCTGTCTCTGGGGTGGAATATGGTAGCTGCTTAAGTAGAACAGAGCAATTTTTTGAGGAATGAGATAACAAGACTGGAACCAGAATGAGAATTTTGAAGGGTCTGAAAATAATTACCTAAACTGAAATATAGCCCAGGCATTTGGGATTACACCTCAATTCTTGCAAAGAGTGCTAAGAGATCTTTTCTGAGTCAAAAGGTCCAGAATAAAGGAACATGAGTGGCTGGGTAGGCTGATTTGGGAGAAGGCACAGTGGGGTTAGGGTTAAATTTCTATTTCCGCCCTGTATCTGCAAACACAGAAAAGAACTGGAAGGCAAAGACAGAATGGGAATTGAACAAACAGCTATTTAGTGAAGATTAAAAGGTCAAATTCACTTGTTCCACCATCTGGTGTCTATTTATACCCATGCTCAGCTGGTGCTGCAGTACATTCAGTTTCAGCATGCAAGCAAGGGGTTCAGCGGGCCCGTCATAAGAATCTGGCTGCTCTTGGGAAAGAAGAGCCAGTTCAGAGACACCTTGGAATCGTAGGGGGTCCACAGAGGCAGTTTCTCAGCTGAAGACAACCTCTGACGTTGTTTGACCCAGCTTGTTCACCCCCCTTTGCACCACTCCTAACCCTACCAGTCTCTGTATTAATGGCCAAGGGGGGGTGTAACCTCTCCCTGTCATTGGATCTTCATGGATTCCCCTTCACGGTGACCCTGCTCCTATTGGGGTTCGGGAGGTGGGTGGGCGTTAGCCTGCCCACGTCTAAAGGACCCTCCCCCACCCTAGAGGGAGGGTCCAAAGATCCTTAGACGTCAACTGATTCCGGGGGACAAATAAAGAGAAAAGAGGGACGGGTCTGAAGGTCAAAGGGCTAAAACGAGGGAACCGGACGGGGACACCGAGCAGAGCCCCGGACAGCGCCCACTGCCCCTTGAAGGCCTCGAGAGGGCCAGGGGACACAGCCCAGTGGAACTCTGCCCGGATGCGTGAACGGATTCAGGAGTGGAGATAGGCCCCATAGTCGCGGGCCCCTCCCTCACCAACCTCTGCTCCCTGGTCTTGTAATGGGCCATAGCCAGGAGGAGGACGACGGGGCGGTCCCGTGACACAGATGGGGGTGTGTGTAAATTAGTAGGTGAGGGGGGAAGTGCAGCCAGACCCTCAACAAGAGGTTCTGGAGGAGTCGAAAGAGGGGCTGTACCTTGGCGCGCTCGAGGTAGACGTGCGCCAGGGTCTCCCTCTCGCCACAGAAGGGGCAAGAGTCGGGGACCGGGGTGAACTGCGCCAAGGACACGCCCGTGCTCACGGCTCTGTGGAGGATTCTCCAGCTGGATCCCCAGCAGGCCAAAGTGGAGTAGAGACTGGCCCGCCGGGGCTCCCCACCCTCTATTGGTGGTAGGAGGTCCCGCCACTTGGCACCTGAGCGGCACACGAGGGTGGGGAAGTGAAGAGTGTGAAGCACGAGCATGTAGAGATGACTTTTTGGGGCACTTCGAAAGGGGACCGGCTGCAGCGTGTGCAGC